AGTAGTCTCAGATCTACATTTCATCGGCACCAGATTTGAATGATTTGCTACACGACTTGTAAAAGCCTTAGACTTTCATATAAAAAACAGACATCAGCCTAGAAAAAGCTACAGGCACAGCTTGTTTTGTTCACATTTGACAAAGATGCTAATATCAAAAGCCCTTTTCACACAGTGATACCGGTAAATATATGGAAAATTTCCGGAATGACTTTACCGGTAAATTCAAAAAGAGCTGTTCACACAGGCGAGGACGTTACGGAATTTTTCCGGAAAAAAGCATTCACACATCCACTCCAAAATACCGGTAAATTCTGACATCATTAACCAGAAATGACCTCTAAACGGCTGCGCTTGTGTTTGTAAACATTTGACTACATCACAAACTCTGTGGATGGATCAGTATTGTGAACAACTCCGATGAAAACATATAGAGAAACACTTTCGCATGTCGAGATGTACAAGATATGTGTGTGTGCCCATGGGCTGTTTCATAGACACAACCAAAGCTTGAAGGTAAACAAACAACAGCTTATCATAAGCATCTTATCGATAATTAATTACATGGTTGGCATTAAGATGAATATCTAAACATTATCTGACTAACTTCTAGCAGCTAAATGTGTTTGGAAAAATATTCGAAGGCTTTTATTCTCATAAACCGCGCGGACGTAAATGCGTCTGACTGTTCTGATTGGCTAAAGCAGACGTCTCACGTCAGCACGTTCTAGACGTGCACGCGCTCTTTCCAGCAATCTTCCTTCTGCATTCACATTCCGGCAAATTACCAGTAATGTTACAACTTCTCTTTCCGGAAAATAGCCAGAACGAAATTGTCGGAAATTGCCGGTAATTTTCCGGAAAGGTGTGTATGTGTGAAAGGGGCTAAAGTGTGCACCCGACACATATCACTAAAAGCTAATGTATTCACCAGCTAAAGACAGCTCAAGGGCCTTGGCACTGTGGAAGAGGCCAGAGGGTGCTCACAGGTGGAGGGTCAGGTGGGTGCAGAGGTTGTTGTGGAGCTCACCACTTTTTAGCTGTTATCTAGAGCTGGAGCAATGGAGTGTGAGAGTTTATTTCCAAGCAAGTTCCTCCATTTTCTGTGAGAAACTCAAAGAGGGCTATGGAGATATGGATAGTGTGTCTGGTGATAAAGGCTGTGGCTCTGGTTTAATCGGCCGCTGAAATATGTTGACTTGGCTGCTTACCTGGAGATCATCCTTGAGTCTTGAAGCTGTTCTGATACGTCAAAGTCTATCTAATAGGAGCTCATTGTGCAGGGTATGAGCAGTGTCTATTGTGTCCATGAGCAGTGGTTTTTGTGACTGCATGGTTTTATTGATGTCTTTATGAAATGTGTCAGCTATATGTCCACTCAGGTGCTGACATGAAGTGCTGTGGTCATTCGGACACTCCTGGTTCATGTCTGTGTCATTTAAGTTGATTTCAGTCAAAGACTTTAGAATCAAAGAGCTTAGAATGACCAAGAGGCGACACTCTAGTGTAATTTGGGAAACAGCCACTAGAGGGCGTGACGGCCATTTTGAAATGTAAACTCCAATAGGACAACAGCGGATTATAAGTCTGTAAAATAAACTATTAAAAGTGCTGATGATTGTGATAATAAGTGTTGTATTGTCGTCTTTCAGGTTGTATCTCAGCTTTAATGCGCTTTTTAAATAGATAAATAAAAAACAAAGCAGTTGCTCGCCATCGCGACAGTAATGAGATCCAATGGACGGCCGATCACTTTTACTCTAAAATGGCGTAATCCAGGGCTGTTGCTGGGCGCTGCTGTTGCAATGGAACATTCTATTTAGTGTCGCCTCTTGGTCATTCGAAGCTCTTTGATAGAATACACAAGACATGTCACTCGTATACTTTTAAATAGGGAAAAGTGTAACTGTCAATATGGTGAATAAAGCCCCACCTTCTAGTGCAGGAGCCAATCAGCGATTGCTATATGGCGAATAAAGCCCGCCTTCTAGTACAGGAGCCAATCGGCGATCGATATAGAATGACAATTCTCCGGGGGAGGGGCTTGGACCAGACGTGAGTTTCTTCAGATTTTGTGTGATACGAACATTTAGAAACGAAACTAAACAGTTGTTGTTTAAATTTATTGGTCATTCGTAAGATGAAATGTAATCAAAAGCTTGGCAAGCAGTTTTGGAGAATTTGATGTTTCCCCATTCAGACAGAATGCCAGAGCATACTGCCTAAGAAACCTTTCAAAGATGGCTGCCAAGTAAATTGATTTGCCTTAAAGGGACTTGGTTAAGTTGCACATAGAGCAGACGGATGATGGAGGGTGAAGTACACTGTATATTGTTCCTTTTCACTTATGCACCAAGTTTGTTTGGATGGAGGCCATCTGATGTAAACAATAGTCTTTGATTCCAGAAGAGAATAAAGTTGTCAATTGAAGCCCTTTAATCTTAGAAAGTTTAACAATCTAAATTGTTAATATATGATTTTGATATAAGCAGTAACTTCAGACACAAAACTAGTATGAAATGTGCACAAAAAATAACATGTGCTTTTAATAATGAGGTACTTTTGATAGAGAAATTTAGTATTTAATAATTTTTTTTTTAAAGTATGTGTCTCAGAGTTTGACCTGTTGCTAAGTTGGAGTTTGGAGGTGAACTCAAATTCTTATAGCCTTAAACTCTCTAGTTGAGAGATTTGGGGGAGCAAGTATAACACATGGGGCTCTATTTTGACGGTCCATGCACAAATCGCAAAACTGAGGGCGCTTTCAGGGCGTGGCAGAATGCATTTTTGCTAATTTAAGGACGGTAAAATCCGCTTTGCGCCGTGGCACATGGTCTAAAAGGGTTGAGTTTATTTTCTTAATGAGTTATAGGTGTGTTTTGAGAATAAATCAATCAGAGTCTCACCTCCCATTAACAGTTAACAGTTTTTTTTAACAGAAAACAGTTAAACAGAACATCTACCGAGAATGAGAGATAAATGATCTACTTTCACTTTTGCTCTCATGGATAGGGAAACCTTTACGCACAGACATCAATTAGCCTATAAATAATTAATTTTGTGTGTTAAGCACAAATATTTGTTTCAAAACTATTTCTAAATTCAGTTCTAATTTCCAGAAAACGAAGAAATGAACAATAATAGCGAAGTGTGGTCAAAAAATTATATCCTAAAACACATGCTGTGCCCCATATGGTCTAAAACCTGCAGGTGGGCAAATCTAAGCTTGTTTTTAATGAAACAAACATAAATATGGATATAATAAATAATACTGCTAATAATAATAATAACATAATACATAAACAAATTGTTATGAATGAACTGAAAAAGCCTCCCGAGATGAAGAAGGCACAAAAGCAGTGGTTTTTCATATTTATGTAGGCTAGAAAATAATATGTTTTGTAATATTTTAATCCTTTATATTTATATCATATATATATATTGTTATTATAGCCTATATATATCCTTAATATTAATTTTTTTTATTATGTAAAGATATTTGCATATTGCTCTATATCTTCCTGTGTGTACTAAGCAGTGTGTAAGCGAGGCACAACTCTGCTGCGCTCGACTTTAGATCGGGTTTGTTTTGGTCTATTGAAAAATCTATTATAGTTTCTCAAAATAGCAACAAGCCAGCGGTCCGCCTCAGAACGCCTTCCTTTTTAGACTAGAACGCCTATGGGGACACATTTGAGCGCTAATGCATTTGCTATTTAAACAGCGTAGCGCAACGCCTCAAAACGACTCTTGTGCCAAGCTGAAACTAGCAAAAGACTATTGCGCCGCGCCTTGCGCCACACTGCGCCGGGTGTATGATAGGGCCCATGTCCTGCTTGTTTGGGCGAGGGGTGCTGCGTAATATATTTGTTAAATAATACAAATTGCTACAAATATTTTAATTGCCATTGTACACGATTCCTATTAAAGTTACTAAATAATAAATTTTTTGTTACTGTTTAGTAACTGAGGTATGGCTTGAGGAAGGAATGCACAGATCTATAATGACAACAATTAAAATACTTTAATGCTAATTTAAGACATAATAAACTGTATTAAAGACTACTCATGAGTGGCCAGCCGTGTTTGCCAAATATTTTGCCTTCATTCACTTTTGTCAGAGACCTTTCACACTTGTTCTGTTTCAAAACTATGAGACAGTTATAAAAGTAAGATTTGGTAACACTCATCCTTCTCTCTAAAACGCAATCTGAAGTTTATAGGGCTGTTTACAACTGGTCGCTTTATGTTTTCTCAAGTTGGATAGCTATATGATTTGGGAAAATGGTTCCATTTACATTTGGCCACACATAAATGTATCTACACCAGACTGATACGATTTTTTCATTTTTTTTTTTCTGTGCAGATACGTGCAAGACATCTTTCCAAACTCAATTTAAAAGAATTTACATTTATGTTTGTATAACCTACTCTCACAAAATCGGTCGATCTGTGCTTCTGAAAACACTGTTGGTTGGGTTTAGGGAAGGGGGAGGGGGGTCAGTCGATTGGTCAGTCAGTCAGTTGATGGCGACCTCTGGTGGATTTATGTCACAACAGCAGGCAAGAATGGCACTCGCGAGAGACATTAGAGATCTGAAAAAGCACATACAGCGGCTTCTGGTGGATTTGTGAAAACAAAAACTAAAAAAAAAAAAAAACGTAGCTCCTGGGATGTATTTGGTGCTTTCAGAAATGTATATAATGGTACATTTTCAGAATAAGCCTGGGTTGACATTAAGACCTGTCCAATGTCAACTGGAATGCTTTCCAGACCCCCTCCTAAAGTGGTTTGAGCGATCAGATTTATATCTGCCTTGAATTCATTTCCAGCCAATGTACACCTGCCCATTGATAAATCAGCTTCTGGTGAGATGCCAGTCTCAGAAAAAAGAGAGAATAATATTTTATCAATTGGATGAACTCATATTGAAGAGAGAATTTAAACTCACATTTGTTTATTAATTAGTGGCGTTGTTAATTGTCACTTGTTTGTACAGGTCTTTCTCTCTATCAACCCATTCGGTGCATTTGTGACCCTGATCCTGCCTAGTGTGCTAATAATGCTGACAGACCTGGGAAGCTTCTCTGTGCCATTTGAAGGAGGAGAACGCAACACTTTTAAGGTCACCTTGGTCCTGAGCTTCACCATGTTCCTCCTCATCCTCAACGATCACCTGCCGAATGGTGGCAACTGTAGTCCTGTCCTCTGTAAGTTAACCAACCAAGATAAATATAGAAAATCATTTTAAATCTGCTTCATTTTAAAATTAAATACTGCAAGTATTGACTTTGGTACCAATCTGTACTGAAATTACTGCACATTTGAAGTATTGGGTGCTAATTTAACATTGGGGAGTCTGTGTCATGTATATCAGTATAGTATAACTTTACATACCACCATAAACTTGAATTGCGGTTGTCAAAAGCACTTTGTTACTAATTGGTACTGAAATTTTAAAAGCGTCCATTAACATTTGAGCGCTGTGGAGTGCGTTCACATGCTAAACAGAAATAGTTGCGATTGGCTGTAAAGATCATCGTCTTACCAATCTTCAACGCTGTTCATCGAGTGCAAACACAGCTGGTTTGTTTATGCGCTGACATATGAGCAATCCGCTGATGGATCAACTGATCGGCGCGGCTTTGAAACTCTCCAGTGTTCATGTATCTGTGTCTGCACTTGGTGCAGCGGTAAAGTGTGGTAAACCAATGACCTTCATGGCCAAAGTCATATATATATTGAGCATGTGAAAACAATGGGCAATCAGCAGTGTTTAAAAACACACTCAACAGCACTTAAATGTTAGAGGGAAATGGATTTTTTCAAAATTTCAGCACTGATTAGTAGCAAAGTCAATATTTTTGACAACCCTACTACATGATTTTGTGTTGTGTAAAGTTATACTATACTGATCTACATGACACACATGTATATCAAAATTCGCTCCTTTAATAAACAAAATAACTAGTCCATGATCATTCACAATAATGTTTATTTTGTGTGTTTTTGTCTTGTGAAGATTATCACTTCACCTTCTGTCTGACGTGTCTGGTGTTGAGTATACTCATATCAATGGTGCTTACACGTCTATCTGTGGACGACAGCATTCTGATCTGTAGACGATCCGCCAAGGTTCATCCATCAGACCAGAACACCAAAACGCAATCCAACAATTTGGATCAGGAGAAAGGTAGGATGACTTTAAACACCTAGGGGAATAAGAGGTTTGCACACTTGGTGTCCTGCAGAGTCTAGCTCATACACATCTGAACCAGCTAATCAAGGTCTTACTAGGTTAAACTTGAATAACGGTGCCCTAACTTGGTCCTGGAGGGTTGGTGCCCTGCTGAGTTTATCACCAACTCCAGTCAGACACAAATGAAGCAGCTAATCGAGTTCTTACTATTCACACTAGAAGCTTTCAGCTTTCCACCTTAACAGAGAGTTGATTATCTGGTAGCTGTTGCAGGACCTGATGCACATGCTGAGTGTGTGCCTGTAAAGAGGATGAGAAAATAAGAATATCATCCAGAAACACAAAGAAAAACTTGTTTACCATCTCTCTCAGCACGTCGTTAATTAGGGCCTAGAAGACAGCTGGGGCATTGGTCTGACCAAAGGGTAGGACAGGATATTTAAAGTGCCCCATAGGGGTATTAAAGACTGTCTTCCACTCATCTCCCTCACAAATGCGTATCAAGTGATAAGAGTTATGGAGGTCTAACTTGGTGATAACTTGGTAAGGGGTACCTGTTCTTCATCTTGATGTCATTTAGCCCCCTTTAGTCAATACGGGGACATAGGGAGCCATCCTTCTTTACAAAGAAGAACCCTGCACCTGCAGGAGATGATGAGGGATGGATGCGACCAGTATTAAGTGATTCCCCAATATACCTGTCCATAGCCTCTCTTTCTGAAGGTGACGTGTCTGGGAGGAGGTCAATGGCACAGTCATTTGGTCAAAGAGGAGAGAGATACCCAGCCCGAGACCGGCTGAAGCCCAGACGAAGATCATGGTATTCAGCCAGGACCTTAGTTAAATTGGCTGTCTCCTCCTGCAACACGGAGCACAAAGAACCAGGAGACAAGGCAGAACCCAAACAAGATGCAAGACAAGACTGACTGTAGTCCAATTAGAATTCCCGGACCAATTAACGTGAGGATTTTGCTGTGCCAGCCAGGGATGCCTAAGGACAACAGGGGAACCAGGTGAATCACCAGGTACAGCTCAATGGCCTCACAGTGATTGCCAGACACAACATGACTTACACAGGGTGTGATGTGTGTAACAGTGGAGATGAGCTGACCAGCTTACGACTAGACAGAAATGGGAGAAGGGAGTGGAATGGCGGGAATACCCCACTGCTTGGCAGTGGCACAGTCTAGGAAATTGCCCTCAGCCCCTGAATCAAGCAAGGCAGAGATGGAGTGAGGGATCCTTCATGTTGGATGGTAATGGGCAACAAGGTGCGAGATCAAGGGGAATTCAGAAATTCAGAAAGGTACTTCATGGCAAAATGCCCTGGTTTACCGCAGTAGAGGCACAAGCAAGATGGTCTCTCTTTTCTTGAGGCATGAGGCACATAAGTACCATCTGCATGGGCGATTCACAGCGATCCAATCTGGCAATCAACAAGGGGTTAATACTAATTATGTACTAATGAGTTCAATGACGAGTGGGGTGAGACAGTGAAGCACATGGCAAGCTGTCAAAACGCCACGTGCACTGAGAAAACAAACACAAATGACCATGACAACAACATGCAGGTGACAGACCATACCAGAAACATTATAAGCAAAAGTGATGCTGCCATTTTGTTTAATCAACCCCACTGTGGCTGCAGGTAAATGACATACTTCACCTTTGATTATAAAGAATCAATATTTCTGGATGTTAATAAATAAAAAAAAAAGTTTCACACAGGCGATTACACAGATCTTTTTCTCTCCATATGCACCAGACACTTTCCTAAAAAAATAAATGAATAAAATAAACTGCCAAACTAACTTAGACTTGCCATAGCATTATATACGAGTGATGGGTCTTTCTTGAACGATTCCGTCATTTTGAATGAATCTTTAGTATGACTTGGGAAATACGAGTAATCTCATGGAGTTATTGGTTTATCCGTGCGTGCGCACATTTGCGCAGGTGGTATCGTTCATTTCAAGTCTTTTGAGTCATTCATCGCAGAAAGGCAGATGCTAGTCATATGCGTTTAGAGCCAATAAAAAGAATTGATCCATTCAACTCTCGAGTCCTCTATAGGGTTTGAGTCATTCGTTCCTCACGGGCCAATCATATGCATTTAAAACCGGATAAAGAATTTATCTGTTCAACTCTCCAGTCCTTTATCGGGTTTGAGTCATTCTGTCACGTGATGAACGAATGACTCAAGAGCCAGAAGACTTGAAAGGTGAACTAATTATCATGGCTCCTATGGACTATGTACATTGGTTAAGATTATAAGTGACTGTCAGTGTAACGTGAACGAACCACTGACATTTGAAGACATGAAGAGGTGAGCTGAGCAAAGAGACAACAATACCGTCATAGACAAAAGAGCAGGTAAACATTTAACTATTATTTTCTCCTTCTTATAGAATTCTTTTTTATGACTTATTTGTCGTGTGATCAACCTTATGGGCTAGTTGTAGATGTCTTTGGAAGCAATTTATAACATTTTTATCATATTTTGGCAACTCGAAATGACTCGAAAACTCGATGAACAAGACTCAAAGATCCGAGTCAGTAAAATGATCCGAACCTCCCATCACTATTATATACAGGTATAATATATTTCTGTTCTCTGGTGATTATAAGTGCATCTTTTATCCTCATTTGTAAGTCATTTTAAATAAACGTGTCTGTAAATGAGCAAATGCAATTGAAGCACTTTTAGATTAGTAAAAAGAACAATGTGGTCTGCTTCAACAGATACTGGTGTGACAACACCGAAGACTGGTGATGTGGCTTCAGAGATCGCAACCCTCCAGGAAACCGTCAACATCTTGGGGAGGATTGATGAAAGAGCAGATCATGTGGAGAAAAAACTGGCATTTGCCAACCGCGTAGACAAATTCGTCTTTGGTTTTTTTATAAGCATTTACATTCTTTATGCGATAACTGTAATCGCTATAACCCAAACTGATATTTGCAAGGTCAATAATCTGGACTTCTGGGATATGTCTAGCAATGCAGATAACAGCTTTGACTACTCCTACACAAATGCCTAGTCCTCTTCAACTGATTGATTGTGTGTGTTTCTGGTGGTGAATATAATCTGATGATATATCTCAAAATGATATGAATCTTGCAAATAGAATTACTGAGTTATTCTCATTTTTAAAGAAAATATATAAACCCCAACTACCATAATGTTTATTTCTCACTGCTCTGCGTATATTCTGCATGCGTTTGTAATTTTAATAATATCAACCAGCCCCATTTTCATAATTACGCAACCATAGTTTATAACCATAGTTTTGTTTAATAAATATTGCTAAAAAAATTTATGTCACAGGTTACTATAAGCGATGCTGTTTGTGGAGTTGTTTAATGATCCCACTGCTGAGATTTTGAGGGATTGAATGTGTTTTATTTCGGTTGATTTAATCTAGGGATTTGACTGTAGTAGTTTTGCATTTCTCTTCAGTGATTATTGTTTATAGCAAAGAAAAATAAACTTAATGAAAAGTCAATGTTGAGTGTCAACCTTTCTACCAGTGTTAAAATAAACATATTTAGAAGTTTGGTTTGGGTCGAAATTGAGCCCGTCTGGGGTCTCAGTGGATCTCTCAAACTGCCATCTCCCTGTATGTGTTTTTACTACTTTTGCTCCTGTTTCCTTAACAAATCTGAAGTCCATAATTTCAAAATTAAAACACACTTCTGGCCCTGGCGAAATTGTCCACCCACAATTTTATACTTCGCTCTTTGTACCTCTGAGCCCGGCCTTGTTCAGTGTTATAAACAAGTTCCTTACGACCGGTACTTTGCCGGCCAGTTTAAAGACTGTTACCGTCACACTTCTGTTCAAGAAGGCCTCACAAAACCCATCTGACTTAAAAAAGACCCATTTCCGCCTTACCCTTCATCTTAAAAAGTGTAGAAAAAATTGTACTTAATCAGTTACAAAGTTTTCTATCTCAGACTGGTATCGCTGAGCCTCTTCAATCGGCTCATAACACTGAATCCGCTCTATTAAGAGTTCTGAGTGACATCTAACTCCACACTGATGCTGGTAATCATGTGGCCTTAATTCTGCTGGATTGATCTGAAGCCTTCGATACCATTGGCCACTCTGTGTTATTATCTCGGCTAGAGTCCTGGGTTGGGCTGAGGGGCACAGTGCTGAAATGGGTTAAATCGGTGGTTCTCAAACTTTTTTCATCAAGTACCACCTCAGAAAAAAATTGTCACTCCATGTACCACCAAAATGAGCAGTATTGAAATACAGTAGTGTAGTAGGCCCAGTAAAGCAGCTACAACTCTGCACAGTAAAACAAACGTGGCAGATTACCTCAGTAATATAGGCTATATGTCACATATGGCACATTATATATAATTTTTGATACATTTTGAAATATATGTAGGTTGTACATGACATATTTCATTCCTCCGCGTACCACTAGAAGGAAGCCCGCGTACCACTAGTGGTACACGTACCACAGATTGAGAATGACTGGATTAAATCAAACATCTCCAACAGGAAGTTTTTTTTGTCAAAATTGATAACTTTTCCTCCTGTACGGCACTGTTGACGTGTGGTCTTCCCCAAGGCTCAATTTTATTACCTTCACTCTTCTCTCTCTACATGCTCCCATTAGGTTCTATTTTCAGGAAATATGTAGATGCACTTTCATCTTCATGCAGATGATACACAAATCTATCTGTCACTGGACGAATCATCTGTTGTGAACTCCCGGTTACTGTGCCTGGAGGAGGTAAAAGCATGGCTTTCTGAGAAGTTTTTATTTTTAAATGAGGGGAAAACAGAGGTTATTATATTTGGGCCCAGTGATTTGTCGGACTGTAAACGCCCCAGGTACGTAACCTGGGCGTAACATTAGATCAGAACTTAGGGGGGTCAAACGGTCTTGTTCTTAATTCTGTCAGTGTGGAAAACTGTGGTGATATCTTTTAATTAGGCGAATTTTTTTCTGCTTTTTTTGTTTAATCTGTTAAACCTTTTATGCTCTCTTATATTATGTGCCTACTGCTGTTATATTTTTATTTTTTCTGTAAAGCATATTGTGCGGCCCTGTGTCCCAACTGCTGTATACGTGCTATATAAATTAATTAAACTTGAACTAAGTTTCTGGGTACAAAATTTATGACTTGTTAAAGTAATTGCATCATGAGTTCATAATAGTCCAAAACGCATCAATAATATTTATAAATCAGTTTATTCTTCTTTCAGGTTAAAAGACTAATCAGTTTTTTTTTTCTATTTTTTTGCATTTCACTCTCACGTTCGTCTATTTCTAAAAGGATTTGAGAAGAACTTCAATAATCCCGTGCAAGTTACTATGATGAGGTCAGGTACATTACTTCAAATATAGCAGCAGGGATAGAAGTGAAACCGCTCACACTTTCCACACACTTTTAGAAAGCCTTGTAAGGAACAATAGGACATTCAGCAGATTCTGTTCTTCTTTTTGGCATGTGGCTGTTAGAGAAAGGTATAAACAAAGGTCAGCGCCAGCTCCAAATGGGCAGGTCAGCTCCAAGTGGGTGGGACTTGAGCTCCAAGTGGGCTGTTCAAACCTCCTGGGCCCGGTTTTTCAAAAGTAATCCACTAGGATTTTGGATAAGGGATTGGATCAAATCTTGAAAATGGGTTTTTCAAAAGAAAAAAACGGATTACGTAATCGGATTAGATCACGTAATCCAATCTTGGTTTTGATCCGGAACAAACCTTTAGTTTGGGTTTTTCAGACCTTTTTTGTAGGATCTGGATCACTTTGATCCAAAAAACCTGGATTAAACTGATCCCATCAGAAGGGTGGATTTAGCGTGGATTTCATGCCCAAAATGTAATGAAAACTTAAAAAATGTATTAAATAATACTATTTTTGGATCATGCAGTATCTTACGAGATATACTATTTATTCATAAGGTTTTAATTTTATTTGTTCATCTGTCAGGCTATAGTGAGTATAGGCTTTAACGTATTCAGCCTTTCAGTATAGGCCTACAGCAAAGTAGAACGAGTTTGGCCTTATAAAATAATCCCCCAAACAGCTGTCAAAACTGACTAAAAACAATCAATTTTATTATGTCACCAACTGATATATATATATTCATCTCAATGAAAAAGATTTTTCTTTTTAGAATATGTATTAGTGATGCATGCAATGATTACGGAATAACAAAAAAATGCAAAGAATGGCAATCACTGATTTTTGAAATCTCTTTCAACAATTGCAAAAAAGAGACTTAAAGGGCAAAAGCACAGCTTCGTCTGGCAGAGGAACAACTGACTCTGACCAAACTGCAGCAAACCAAGGCCAGACTTGAGATCCGCCTCCTAAAGGCTACACTCAGACAAGCTGCTCTCTCCACATCAGATGAGGAAGTCTGAACTCATTGTGGAGTTTTTGACATTAAGTCTTTTTCTTTTTTTTTTAATTTACATCTATATTTGAAACTTATAAATATCCTCAATGTACAGTGTTGTAGGTCTCAGATGAGTGGACTGCTGGAAGAGGATGGGGTGAGGTTTTTCTTGTTTTTATTATTTATTATTATTATTATTATTTTAATAATTATTAAATTTTCTTAGTTTTCATTTCAAATAAAATAAAGATATATTGACCCCACCCTGGCTATTCTACTCTTTACATATCTATAGTTTACATTGTGATGTCCTATCCTGTTTGAGCACTGGTTATCCAGATTTAGTGATCCTGAAAAGTTCCTATCCGGATCAGATTGATCCAATCCGATGTTGCTTTGAAAAACTGGCTCAAAAATAAGCTGGATTACGTGATCATGGATCACAAAAACAGGATTACTAAATCCGGATCAATTTTATCCGGATTAAACCTTTTGAAAAAACGGGCCCTGGAGTCTTTATTGATCTATTTAATGTCTTCTACATGACATGGAGTCCAGACTATTGTGTTTTACTAACATCTAACATGTTTTATTAACGTCTACACCTACACCAACCCTAAACCCAACCTCACTGTAACCTGTTGTGTTTTAATAACATCTACACCTACAACAAAGCTAAACCCAACCTCACAGTAACCTGTTGTGTTTTAATAACGTCTACAACTACACTACAGGTGTCAAACTCAATTCCTGGAGGGCCGCAGCTCTGCACAGTTTAGTTCCAACCCTAATTAAACACACCTGATCAAACTAATTGTGTCTTTCAGGCTGGTTTGAAACCTACAGGTAAGTGTGTTGGAGCAAGGTTGTAACTAAACTATGCAGGTCTGCAGCCCTCCAGGACCTGAGTTTGACACCCAAGGCCTACACCAACCTAAACCTAACCTCACAGTAATCTGTTGTGTTTTATTAATGTCTACACCTACAACAACCCTAAACCCAACCTCACAGTAATCTGTTGTGTTTTAGTTACGTCTACACCTTCCAAAACGCTAAACCCAACCCTGCTGAAAAAACAGCTTAAACCAGCCTAGGCTGGTTGGCTGGTTTAGCTGGTCAACCAGGCTGGTTTTAGAGAGGTTTTGGCCATTTCCAGGCTGGTTTCCAGCCATTTCCAGCCTGGTCTTAGCTGGTCAGGCTGGGAGATGACCAGCTAAAACCAGCTTGACCAGCCTAGCCAGGCTGGGAGCCCAGCCAAAACCAGCTATATCCAGCTTAAACCAGGCTGGTCAAGCTGGTTTTAGCTGGATTTAGCTGGTCATTTTCCAGCCTAACCAGCTAAGACCAGGCTGGAAATGGCTGGAAACCAGTCTGCAAATGGCCAAAACCCCTCTGAAACCAGGCTGGTCAACCAGCTAAAACCAACCAACCAGCCTAGGCTGGTTTAAGCTGGATTTTTCAGCAGGGAACCTCACAGAAATCTGTTGTTTTATTAATGGCTAAACCTACCACAACCCTAAACCCAACCTCAGAGTAATTTCTTGTGTTTTAGTAACGTCTACACCTACAACAACCCTAAACACAACCCTGCTGAAAAAAAAAACAGCTTAAACTAGCCTAGGCTGGTTGGCTGATTTAGCTTGTAGACCAGGCTGGTTTTAGAGGAGTTTTGGCCATTTCCAGGCTGGAAAATGACCAGCTAAATCCAGCTAAAACCAGCTTGACCAGCCTAGCCAGGCTGGGAGCCCAGCCAAAACCAGCTATGTCCAGCTTAAACCAGGCTGATCCAGCTGGTTTTAGCTGGATTTAGCTGGTCATTTTCCAGCCTGACCAGCTAAGACCAGGCTGGAAATGGCTGGAAACCAGCCTGGAGATGGCCAAAACCTCTCTAAAACCAGGCTGGTCAACCAGCTAAAACCAGCCAACCAGCTAAAACCAGCCAACCAGCCTAGGCTGGTTTAAGCTGGATTTTTCAGCAGGGAACCTCACAGTAATCTGTTGCTTTGTTAATGTATACACATACCACAACCCCAAACCCAGCCTCACAGTAACCAGTTGTGTTTTAGTAACGTCTACACCTACCACAACCCTAAATGCAACTTCACAGTAATCTGTTGTGTTTAATTTATTGTCTTCACCT